TGAATTATGGGCCCCCACTTACACTGGGCCGTGTCTATCTTTGCCTCCTGACCGGGGTGCAAGCGATGAAGTCTAGAAAGGACTGCGTTCTGGAGACACTGAGGAATGGCGATTCTGCCCTCTATTATGACACATCCGTCTACTACTGCGATTGAGTCCCAGAAAGTACGTATGTAGGGGTCGATAAGGCAGAATCCTTCGTAGTCCTTGCTTATAGCTGCGTTTCTCATCAATCTTAGTGTTGGGTCGCCTGCGAACAATTCTGCCAGCACGTCCGAGACCAAGATTCCAGTGAGTCATGGGAGAGATTTTTTGTCTTTTGCTACCACAGACTTGTGTTGACCCCTGGCCGCGTTGACTTGCATAGTGCTGATGCTTCTTTTCATTCTAAAGTTGGCTAGAGCTGTGGCGTATTTATTTTTCTTTGAATACTTTTCCTCTTTAGTTGGCCTTCTGCGGGGCCTTTCTGCGGTTAAGGTTCTCTCTCTCGGTCGGGAGCGACCCATGATGAATCTGGACCTCGGGGCATCTTCGTTCAGCAAACGGTCAAAGCTGTCGTCTGTGACAGAGTTATTCGTTATCATTCTCTCTGAAAATCGATGATATTGATTAGACCGAATATGATGTATTTTATGAGTTTAAATCTGGTTTTGGTGAAGAGGGGGTTTAGAGCTGGGTTGGGATGACTAAGTAGGGTCGTGTGTGCTTGATATGAATGTATAAGATTCTTTTTGAGAATTGATGAGACCAAATTTGCATAAAGCGCTGTGAAAAAATTTAACGCATATTTGTAGCCCTCAAGCGATAAAAAATGGCATAATTTCTTTGGGTGAAACAATTTGTAACGAAATTTACGCCCTCTTGCCGTTTCTTGCGTAAATAAAAGGGAGAATCTGATTGGTTTAGAATTTTGGTTAAATTTCCGTCGCCCTCCAGCGTTGGATAGTTGTGAAATAAATAGTTGAGATTGTTAAATTATCTAGTGCTAATTTTAGCTCCCTCTTGCGGAATTGTGACATGATATGTATCCTGCTTTGATTGGTTGAAATATTTGATATGATTTTCAAGATTGGGCTGTATCTCCCCGTAAGACTTATAAATGGCTGAAACTAGTAGGTAAGTGTCTGATTTCTGGTCGGTTGAAAGTTCTTTCTTCACAAGATTTTCCAGTGTATTGCAGGCTTCAAAGAACTTCTGAATAGAATTGACGACGAATTGCTCGTCGAAAGATGAAGGTTCGGGAGCTGCTGAGGAAGGATTACCCGAAAGGTAGTCGACTATGTCCAATTTAGGGCCTGCGATATGATTTACTTCAAAGTCAAATGATACTTCAAGTTCATCTGGTTAATCTAGATTGGTATGATTTGTTACCCCTGTTGGTGCTTAAGGCTGGAGTAATTGCCTTATGATCAGTTAAAACTTCGAAATTGTTTCCTAGTAAATAGTTTCTAAACGTTTCACATGACCAAACGATGGCTAAAAGTTCTAATTCTTTCGTACTCTACTTTTTCTCCTGAACATTCAACAGACTTGAAGCGAATGCTATTGGTGCCCACGTATCGTCAGATAATTCTTGCTCGAGTGCCGCTCCTAGTCCACTGTGACTGGCGTCGCATTTTGTTCTCGATTTCCTTTCTTGGTCATATTGGTACAATTTTGTTATTTCAGAAATGAGTTTAAGGCTTTTGTTAAATGTTTCTTGTTGTTCTTCGTTCCAAATGAATTTAGCTTTGTTGCTAAATTTCAAAGACGGTCTGAATTTTTTCGTGTAGAGCGGAAGATTTGCAAGAAACTTTGGTAGATGGTTTAGCACACTCATTTACGATCTTAATTGTTTCAATGTTCTAGGGGCTTTTAGGTGCAAAACTGTTTGAACTTTTGAATATTTTGGGATAAATCAAGAATCGTCGATATCGTAACCTAGCCAAGTGATTTTTCTCACCAAAAAAACGCATTTGGATGGTTTCAGGGCGAAACCTTCTTCATCCAGCTTTTGGAATACTCTTTCGACCGTTTTGTTATGGTCTTCAATGGACCCTTTGGAAACAATTAAAGTATCATCTAGGAAACAGATAACTCCCGGAATGTTTTGTAAAGTATTGTCTAAGGCCTTCTGAAATTCTTTTGGCATGTCAGTAAGGCCGTAAAAATCTGCCGTAAAACGATATGTTCCTGTAAGTTCTCCACTCAGGATATTAAAATTACAGTGACTACTAACTAAATCGCTCAACTGTAACTGACTAAAAGATCTTGCGAGGTGAACCAGACCGAGCCTGAATTTTTTAAATTGATGATTTGAGCTGCCACGTCGAGTTGTTCTAGAAGATTTGGCATCTGAGATTGATTTTTGTAAAATTGCGCATTCATCGTCTTGGCATCCATAGCTAAATTTATTTAACCGTCCTTTTCAGCGGTGATTACAACGGGTGCAATAAAGTGCTCACCAGTGCATTTGTTTAATTTTACTATGTGGCCTTATTTCATTAGCTTAGTCAAATCTGCGCCCACTTTTTATTGAATATGAATGGGGGCTCTACGTCTTTTTTCTTGAATAGGTACCAGTGGGTCCTTAAAAACCGAATGAACGTAGTGAGATTTTGATCTTCCTAATCTAGAAAAGACATCACTGTATTTAGATGTAAAATGCTCTTCCCATGTTTGTGAATCTTCAGACAATGTTGCTTCTGATATTTCCATGATAGATTGGTAATGTTCCTGAACTGCACGAAGTCCGCTTAAGCTCTGGAGATCTAAGCCCACCAGACACCTCGTTTTGTTTTCAGTAACTAAACATTTTGCGTATTCAACCTTCCAACTTAAAGATGAAATGTTAGTTACTATTTTCCCGTGGAGGTTATGGGTTTTCTGTTATAATCAACATATAAGGTATCTACTGCGAGATCTTTTAATAATAGAAATTTTTACATTTTTTCCGGATTTTAACAGAGTATCTGCAGTAGGTTTGTTTACAAAAGAGGCAGGGCTGCCTGTGTCGATTGTTGCTTCAAAGAAGGAAATATTTACTCTGATGGTAGCTTGTAATGATTTGATTTTTCCCGAATTTGTTTTGGTCACTTCTAATCTTTTGACAGACTTGGTCGGTTTTGACCTAAGTTCATGTTGAATTGAGCTGATTTAATTTTCCTGATGCATGAACATTTAATACAGAAAAATCTGATTCGCTATCTGACGTAATGAAGTTTTATTCTTCTTCCGCGGTGTCTTCTGATTCTTCGTCAATGCTGTCTACATTCTTTCGAGAATTGCACAGTTTGGCGAAGTGCCCCTTCTTGCCACAATATTTGCAAGTAACATTTTTCGCTGGAAATGATTGGCGATGGATTGGTGAGTAACTGTTTCCGCAGAAATAGCATGGTTTGGGTTCACTGTTTCTTCTTGAATCATCAGAAATTTTGTTGTTTTGGGCTCTAGATATTCTGTTTTGCAGATTATTTTTCTTTTGAATCGACCATGTTGGTTCTTGTTTGATCTTGAGGAGTTGTGGGTGGATAGTAGATCGAAAGATGAATTCTGGCCCATTTGTTTTTGTAGAGCTGAAGCAGTGACGGAGCCTTTTTCCTGTAAAACAGCTGATTTTAAAATTTCCTCTGATGAATCACCTGGTCGAATACAAAATCGCGCTGTATATCTTTAGAGCGCATTTTTGCTTTGAATAGGTCTCGAACAACCTCCTTTTCAATTTTTATTGACCATCCACATTGGGCTGCTTGTCCCGATAGGCGGAGAAAAAATCCTTCTAATCCTTCACGGTCGTTTTGAGACGAGTTGAAAAGATGCATTCGTTCGACAAAAAAGTTTTTATCATTCTTGATTAAATTTGTGCATAGTTCGAAAAAACCTTTAAATTATGTCGTAGCTAGTTAACGAGGGCAAAATTTTGAAGGAAATTGAACGAGAAGATTAATCCTGAGTCTACCCTTTGATCCATGATCAATAATATATGTTGGGTCCGATTTTTGGACCCTTTTTTCGACGATCGGCATTCTGCTCGTTGGTTTTCCGAACTTCCACTTGGTCGCGTTTGATACAATTTTTGGCGTCTGTGGCTGATTCGGATTCTCCTACTCTTTCAACTTTGGGAGGCGGGTCGTCGAAGACTTTGGTTGGTTCGGATAAAAGGACGTTCGGGTCGCAATGTTCCCTCAGTGTTATCGCTAGAAATAATTGACCAATCCAAGTATCCCTATTAAAAGGTGGTTCTGGATTTGATCTGGGCCAAAAAGTTGGAACTCCTTAAAGGTCTGAACGTTTATCATGGTTCAAGACTGCTGGCTGCGCCATGTGAAATAGGAAGCTACACTAATTTAGTAAACTAACTAAAAGTTGAAGTTTAATTCAATGGTATAAATTGGTTACGGAATCAATAAAAAAGATATGACTGCAATATTTCAGCAAGCATAAAATAGTGACCAGAGATTTGTTAGCACACTGTCACGGTTGGGGTACCCGTCCCAACCTTGACACGTTAATTGCGAATAACACTTTAACATTCACATAGGTTGTCAATCTAACATAAAGCATAGTGTATGGCAACCACCACAAGGGTAGCTCATAAATAATGGAACATTTGCTTTCAAAAGTCGGTATAGAGCTCATTTTCTTGAGCAAATGTTTGCATTTTTTCAACCAAATTTAATATTTGTTAATATATTGATCACTGAATGTAAGAAAAAGAGAGCTCGCGTTTATACATGATCACAGGCTTCTGAAAACGGGCTGCTAAGCTCCTCGGCATTCTCGCAAAAAAAGTCGTTTTCTGTTTTCAAGTTTCAATTTCAAGATGGTCACGGGTCGAATTTGCAAACAATTTTTTTTAAGAATATCTTATTAATGAAACTCAAATGATATCTTACTTATTAATTTTCCTTTGAAATAAATCAAATCATTTGTTATAAAATGACTCTATTGGGTTCTCAGAATAAGTGATGTTTGTTTTAAAAAATCCGCGAGTGAGAATAAATTTCGATGTCTTTCACGAATTAGAACTGTATCTCGAAGAGAATGACGCCTGAGTTTCCTTTTTCTATCCCAGATCCCTCACCGTCTCCGCCTTGACCATAAGAATAGTTTCTCCCGTTCACAAACACACCTCCTCCACCTCCTCCATAGGCACTACTCGAAGGACTTGTCGACCCGTTATTTCCCGCAGCTGGATCCAGATGAAACTTTCGGAACAAAGGCTGCACGTCCCGCTCTATGTCGATTCCACTGCCACAACCCCCCTTATACTGGGCAGAACTTCCCCCGTCACTTCCGTTGTTGCCACCGTTTTGTCCCCCTGCCGATCCTCCCCCACTGAATCCGTTGCCCCCGGCAGTGCTGTACCCGCCCTCTCCGCCCTAGAGGAATTCACAGAAATTATGAAATTTCTGATTTAGTTTGGAGATACTATTTTATAAATCATATCTGATTTCTTACATGGGGTTCAATATCACAACCCTTATCTTGGTTTCAAAATTGCTAGCTTTACCTGGGCTCGAATGATCACATCTTCGTTCTCGTCTACCACCATCGATAGTTGTCCAGAAAAAGGAGGACTAGAAGTAGATTGTTGGGTTGGTGTCACTCTCTGGCTTCTGTGTTGATACTGATTGTACCTACGTAATGGGTAACTTTTAATTTGGTTAGAACGAAAGAATCAACCAAGCTATCTCTATCTGAACAAAAATTTCAGTGTGTTGTTTTTGATAAAGCTATCCAAAGTGTTTTGATCAAGCTATTGTGATAAAACTTTTTAAAAAAAAATTCAAAAATTCAAAAATGTAAGCAACATTTTTGAAAAACACTTAGTTTGGACCAAGATTAGCAGGCCTTAGTTTGATCTAATGCGTCGATATTTTGAATGTAGTACAACAAATAACATCAAAAACTCTCATTTCAATAACCAAAATTATTCTTAAGGATAACAACGCCGAGAAAACGTACCGATAAAAAACGTCGGAACTATACGCTGAAAGTTTCAATAAAATGAATTATGTATTTTTCGACGTTTGATGACAGCGGGAAACATTAATGTACAAGATGGTCTTTTATCTTCAGATTAGTTTAAGTTATGATAACTAATCGTTTTTGGTATCTAATTGTTCACCACTTCAACAGAGCTGCGGTCAAAACATTCGGAGCAAAATTAAAGGAAAGTGCCACTGGATTTCCATGAAAAATAACAGCTTACAAGGGATTGCATACCAGAAAATAGTTCCATTATAATTTATTATAATTCGCCCTTTAGAACCTGAAATGTTTTTTAAATCCGTAGTCCATTTTTTCGAAAAACTCCAATTGATCATAATCCATGTAAAATCCATTACAATGGAATTTAATGAATTGACTGTTAAATTTATTGCAAATTTTTTTCTATATATGCATTGTTCTCAGGGGCGGATTTAGGGGGGGGGGCGGGGGGGGGCGGACGCCCCTCCCTCAGGGATTCGAACCCCTGCCAACCCAAAGGGTCCCCCCTTTGATACTTTTTAAGAAATCCATTTTTGGCCAACCGACCCTAAAATTTTTCTAAAGGCGCCTTCGGCGCCAATATATACTAATTTTGAGGGGGAGCGCGCGCCAAAAAAACGCGTTTTTTTTTGTCAAAATTTTCCAAAAAGTGCCCAAAAACGGCTTTTTTGACCTTTTTTTTCAAAAATTTGCCTGCGGCGCAGAAAATTTGGCCAAAACAGGGTCTTTTTACTGCTTTGGGAGAGCTCGGAAAATCAATCTGATCGACCTAAAAAAAAAAAAAAGGTCGTCAAAATTTTTTGAAAATCCGCCCCCCCCCCCCCCCCCCCCCTCGAGAAAATCCTAGATCCGCCCCTGATTGTTCTCATATGCATTGTTCTCGTATTTGTATATTTTTTTGCCCAAAATGATATCATTCACACAAATAACTATTGGAAAATTTTCTAATGCATATTTCCCAGTTTTTTAAAGCGTATTGCGTTTTCAAGTCGAATCCTCGAAGGAGTGCATTGCGAGAAACGGGTAGAATACTGGGGAGGGGCGTAAAAGGGAAAAGATAAGAAAAGAGGGGCAGTAGAAATAAAAAACAACCAAATATAACGGAGTAACAAGGATAGCCGGTTACTGTGCAAATTTTTCAAGTTAGTGTAGTTTTTAATGTGTGTTGACATGGAATAGTAAGATCTGATCAAAAAATATATTAGGTATATTTTTTTCAACACCGAGGAAAGTTTTAATATAATAATAATAAAAATAAATTGTTTCCAAACGATATCTAGTTATAAAGTTATCTATAAAAATTTATAAATACAAATTAGAATCGTTCGGGAGAACACCATTAAGCCAACAAGGCCCGTTTTCAGGTGTCTCATTAAGCGGAGAACAAAAAAAAACACTTAAATTCTTCAATCCAATTCAATGGATTTTCTACCGGTAACCATTTTTTAAACGTAAAACCTCTTTATTCGCACCTTTAACCCATTTTCTTTTAAAAAATTTAATTTAGTTTTCTCAGGTAGTCTTTTCTACCCATAACTTAGAAATAAACAGAAACAAGTTCTACTTATTGATCAATAAAAAGTCTCAAAGAAGCATGCCCAGTAAAATCGTATTTCCTAGAATGTAGTTATCCAAAAATTTATGATTAAAACTATTTAATTGAAACCGAGAAGCCCTTTTCAAGAAATTGACCCAGGTGGGAAAAAATTTATTACGAAGTTGAACATGTTTCAAATTTTAGGTGTAATCGACCCTCTGTTGAGTTTACTTCTGTTTATAGCCAACTTTTGATTTGTTTTTCGCTTTGAAATATCACGTTCAATTCTTGTTCAGTAATAGAATATCTCAAGGTTTCAACTTGGCACTCTTTTCGAGTAATTTTTTCGATTAATTTCAGAAATTCGTAAGCAAAAAGTTCTCTTACGGTATATATTTTATCATCATGCATTATTTCAGTGATTCAATCCATCCTGTGTTTAAAAAAATTATTCTGATTAGCCTTCTGATTTTCACTTCCAGTTCTAACAGTTTGGTTTTGTCGGTATTTGCATAACCTAAACTCCATATTGGAAGATTGGTTGCACGTAACTTTTATACGCAAATATTAATTGCTGTCCAGTTAGAAACTTTCTCAATTGAAAAAACACTCCACAGAATTGCAAAAATTTGTTCTTTACCTTATCAATATGCTGATGAAAATTCAATTTACAGTCAAGGAGAATTCCAATATATTTAAAACATTCAACATCTTCTATTTGGGTGTCATTTAAAAAATAATTTACTGGTCGTTCTTCAGTTTTCGTGCTCCGACAGTATCTCATGTTCTTGGTTTTTTTGACATTCTGTGTCAGTTTGTTCTTGTCTAACCAATCATTTACTTCAAGCAAAGCTGATCTATGTGCAAAAGCAATATAGTCTTTGTTGTTTGTGGATTTCAGAACACTTTTTTGTTCGATAGCGATGTTGAAACTTCTTCCAACAATGTAGGGATGGCGTCAACAGTGCTTCTATTTGATCTGAAGCCAAACTGAGTGTTTCGGATGATATTAAACTTGTCTACATATGATTTGGCTCGCTTAAAAATTATACGCTCAAAAATTTTGCCCAGAACTGGAAGAAGCGAAATTGGTCTATAGTCTGAGGGGTCATCGATGTCTCCCTCCTTGAAAATTGGAACAATTTTTGCAATTTTTAAACAATTTGAATAGATTCCTGAGTTTAGGCAGTCATTAAAAATTTCAGTCAAAGGGCCTGCTAGTATGGTTTTTAAATGCTTGACGAGAACAGTGTTAATATCATAGCAATCTGTACTATATTTATTTTCTAAACTTTCGATGACTTCAATGACTTTAATTAAATCAATTTTTTTCAAAAACAACGATTGCTGCTGACGTATAACATTAATTTCCCTGCAGTTTGGTTTGCTCTGCGTAAGTCTGGCGCCAATATTAGCAAAGTATTCGTTAAAATGCTCAGCGTCCCCTTAGATAGATTTAAAGATTTAGAATTTTTCCCTTTACCACTCATTTCCATAAAAGTTTCGAAAAAAGTTTTCGTTTTACAATTAGACTCAAGCATTAGTTTATTTTGATAGTATTTTCGTTTTTTATGGATGATTAGCTTTTTAACAATTTAATTTTGGTAACTATACTTATTCCGGGCATCCGTTATTTTAATATTTAAAATCTCTTGTCGTAACCGTCGCTTTTTTGCTGCTGCATTTTTTACTTCATTGTCAATCCATGGATGTCTTTCTGATTGTACTAGTAAACGCTTTGGAAAAAATGTATCAACTGCCTTCATAAGGATCGAATTTATTTTTTCTATAATCCTAGAAGACATTTGAGGGTCTTCGGGATTCCATAACTGCATACATTTGCCAATCTCATGTTGCAAAATAAAAACTTAACTTCTCACTTATATCCCAAATTTATTAACTGTCGTTCAAATTACGGCTAAAAGGTCTTCAAAAAGTAACTCGACCCATTTTGATGTTTATTTGTAATACATGATTTGATGTGGAAAGCAAAAAGAAAAAGAACCAAAACTAAGATTTCCGAATACAAAGTTCCTCGGTATTTTTCAAAAAGTGTTTGAAAATAAGAAAAAGAAAGAAAATCGCAATTTCCAATCAAAAAGTTTTACAAAATTTCACTTTGAATGATCCAACGTAAGTTTAGCGAAAGCGTTGGCAAACTCTGAAAAAAGTTTGAGCAACTAAAAGCGCTACTAGAAACTAAAATGGAGTCCAGATCAAAAGATTTCTCGAAATCAAAATTGTCAATAAACCAAATTAAATAAACCAAGATTATGTTTTGGTATTTATTTTATTCAGGTCAAGTTTGGCGTCAAAATTATTTAACCAAGTTTTACTTTGAACGATCCAATGTGTATTTTGCTAAAGTAACGGTCAAATTAGTTTTTTCTTATAACGTTTTTAAAATTTCAGACTAATTTTAGAAAAAAAAAATCGATTATAATCGATTTAAAATGAAATAAATTGCTCTGAAATTTTATGCATTATAATCAATTTTAAATCAGTTAAATTGATTATTTAAATTGATTATTTAGAAGGTTCAACGAATACTTATATTTTGAAAAGCTTGAGTACATAATGGAATCTTGTTACGAAACATATTCCGTGAAAACTATTAAGTTGATGTTTGCTTGAATATTCCTGTCATGGATTCTACGGTAATCAACATTTTGCCGTCACTTTGAATAAGCATCCTTTTTTCAAGGATTCCAAAAACAAATGCTGACTGAAATTGGCTTAAGTTTTAATGAATGAGGTTCAAATTTCAACCAATTTGGAACCATTTCTAAGAACTCCGTTTACACGTTAATAGCGCGAAATATATCGCGCGTTAATTGTCCTAAACTGGCCAAAATGGCAATTTTTAAACCCCATAACTTCACAAAAAATGACCACAGGTGAAATATCTTTTCAAATTTAGGCTCAGGACAACAATAACTTTTGAATAAAATTTTTTGTCATAAACGGCTAGTTAAAAAGTCGAATTTTGTCTGAAGAAAAAAAACCCACCCCGAGCAAAAAAAATATTCCGTTACTTTCGTATCGAAAGTCGGAACAAAAACTAGCAAAAACAGCAAAAAGGTTAATTTTGAAAAAACCTTGTAATTTTGCAAAAACTAGTTTGTTAGTCGAGTTTTTACTTTCGCAATGTGATTGGAACATTCTATTCGACCAGGCGTGGTGAGACGTTCTATGCGACTAGGCGTGGTGAGAACATTCTATTCGACTGGCTCAGCAACCGGCTCAGCAACCGGCTATCCTTTTTTGTTGTATTTTTACAACAATTACGAGTTAGGCTATACCATCAATCGGTATGATCTTACTTGTCGTTATAGATGTCCTTGCCTCCTTGACCAATGAAAATCGAGAATATCTTTGTGAAAGGGATGAAAGTAGACGAGTGCTTCAAAAATCCACTACCTCCTCCGCCATAATAGTACCCGTTGTAACTGTAGCCCCCAGTTCCTCCCCCTCCAATTGCGAGTACGTTTGCTTTGGCCGAACAGCCCATAGTCTCAATTTTTATCGTCACGTTTGTCTCGAATTTTTGAAAAGTAGCGGGTGTTGAGCTCAAAATAACAGCTTCATTCGGCTTACATGTTGCGCCAAAGTTACAGGCCTTCGGACCCGTACGACACGACTTACAGACCTCGGGACTGGATGAAGCCGACATTAAAATGCAAGTATTTGGCATCAGATTACTATCACCAAAATTAATAGTATAATACGCGCAGCTTTTATCCTTTGAGCACTGCTCTCGACAGGTTTCTTCGTTTGTCGCTGCGAGCATTCTGATTAGATTTTTTCCGTCCATTGAAAAAGCGAGTCCTTCGACACTGCAATAGTTGCATTGGTACCCCGAGTAACATCCTTCGCATGTGATCAAGTCTACAATTAAATATTCGGTGAAGGTTAATTACTTTATGTTCGAAATCCTCTCTTCTATTATGGTCATCCATATAAACCTAACCCTAACTTTTCATAACTATCTTCAAGGTTTTTCCTGGAGCAGCGGGCGGCCTTAGATCGATTATTTACTTATTCAATTTACTTTCCGAGCTCTATCTCAAAGCACTATTTTGCGCTGCATGCCAATTTTTTAGAAAACAGGCCGAAATGAAGTTCTAAGGCATTTTACTCAGCAACGAAAAAACGCATTTTTGTTCTGCGACCGCTCCCACCTCATTTTGAGCGTATGTTGGTGTTACTCATGCTATAATTTAGCTTATTTTATTCCTATAGGAACCTCTAATTAAAAATGTAAAAAAAAATTAGAACGATTGAATTACCTGACTCTTGACATTTCTGCGTGAATAGAAAACACAATCGTTTGAAGGGAACTCCCCTGTTGTCGAAAAACGTGAACGAAGTGCAGTTTTCCAGTGCATTGCACTCGTCCCTACATCTTCCCCAAGTTGTCAACGAAACTGGCGCGAGGGAAAAGTGTTTCACTTCCAGGGGGCAAGTTTTGTTAGATTTTAGGCAGTCTGGAATTGATGAAACTATTCCAAATATTCCAAAAACAGTCACGAAATAAATTCCAAGTTTCATAATGCCTGATTTAGAATAATACGAAGCTAACATTTCTGAGAGATAGCTCGGAATAAGCTAATACAAGTTTTGACCTTTTGTTTGCCTAAAATATAGATGACCCCAGGTTCCTAATAAGTTACAAGAAATTATGAATACCACGATTGATTGGTAAATTTTGTTTTGACACGCCTATGGCCCGATCGAAGTCTCCATAGTTGAATCAATAAGTCACCAACGTGAGATTATAAACGATGATTTGACCTTTGAAAAATACTTTCTTCCAATCCCCTCTTAGAATCGTCTGAAATAATTCTAAGGAACTGCTTTAATTTTGCTATAAAATTATTTTGAAGTCTAGTTCTTTGCTTATTGGAACAAACACGCCATTTTATTGGACAATGAAAATTACACAGTCAGTTTAAAAGTTTCAAAAAAAAATCTCTCTGTCTAAGTTCCTCTTTAAGGTCGGATTGATTACAAAATTACCATGAGAATTGATCGATCACTTTAAAAATCAATCCAACCACTTTATCAATTCTTGGGGAGAAACTATGGCGAAAAACAATGTTTCCTACAACATATTTAAAGCAAAGATTTAAGCTATGAAAATTTCATCTTCAATAAAAGATAAGGTATTAAAAACCCAATCTTTTAAAACTTATGCATTAATTACTATTTGGTAGGCAGTACCATAGAAAATGAGCAAGAACTTTGTTTACGAGTGTGCTTTAAGTTTTCTTAACCTTTTTCGCTTTTTCTTCTGTTTTTCAAGAAAAAATCAGGTACCACAAGTAACCATCGGAATTAGCCGAGTGATATTGGATTAAAAGCGTTTTACACGTGATTCGGAAGACCTGAAAAATTTTTTCAAAAAATTGTTCCAATGTTGAGATCAACTGGTTCGAAGAACCGGTTTGACGTCAAGTTTAAGTCCAGTAATGTTTAAAAATGAATTTTACGAACAAACTGGTGTTGGAAACTTAATTTAGCAACGTCATGGCAATACGATTTTTTTAAATTAATTTATAGACTTTTTGAAGACAACTGTTGTCCATCATGCCTAATTTAAAAAATTTTGGACTTTCATGTAGTTCTCTCGCTACGTCACGCACAAGAGCACAAGAAAAGAATTTACTTCAGAAAACCGCAGAAAAAAATGTGAAACTTTTTATGAATGTGCGCGAACGATATTGTCTATTTGCACCACAACCGGCAATGCTTGTTTTTTTGTTCATTTTCTGTTTTTTTTTGCAAAATCCAGAACCACAAACAACCATCATCGAAATGGGTCGCGTGATAAATCAGACTAGAGTTCTTCTAGTCGTGATTCGCACGAGAGTAAATTTTAATTTTGTAAAATAACACCCGGTTTGAAGATCCATAGTCAAACATCGAGCAATTGCAGCCAGCAGGTAACATTCGTAAAATCGGACAATTCAATTAGAAAAACTGGCTTTTGGCAATTTCATTAAGCGCTTTCTCGGGAACAAAATTTAAAAAAAGAATTCACAAACAAGAGAAGAATTTTGTCAAAAGCTGTTGTCAAAAATGCTCAATTTACTAATTTCCTATAGATTTACATAACTTCTTTTTACACCACGCACACTAAACCACATCATTTGAAGAGAATAACAAAGAAAATTGTTATTTTTATGATTTTGTTCCGAAATTTCTTGGCTGTTTGCATAGCGACCGGCTATCCTTACGATTCAATTTTTCAGTTCCAAAAATGGTACCAAGTACCACACATGTTCACTGGAAAATGTAGAGCGATAAACCATCTTGAAGCCCGTTCAGTTATGACTCGAATTGTCTGCAAAAAGTTGTTTTATTGTTGAGAAATACCGGTTTTGATTTTTTGAGTTTTACTCCAAGTAGCCTATAAAAGTGTTTTGATCTATGTGAAGTTTTAAAATTTTTTCATTCATTTTTGGATGAAATTTGATTACATAAAGTTTTTCTTCGAATTTTCTCTCACCACGGCACGCACAAAAGCGAAAAAAATAGTTTGAAGAAAAATGTTGTAATTCTGAGTAAATTTGTACGAACGTTTTTGGCTATCGTTGTTTTCGGTTGTGTTTAATTTTTTTCTTTTCTCCGCAAAGTCATGTAGCACGAATCGTTATCACATTCGGCCGGATCTTCTACAACAGGAACCTGTGGAACTTTGGCGTAGATTGCATGAATTATCTGGCTGGACGGAGAGGATCAAAACCAGTAAACAAAACGCAATTCAGATGAGATAAATTGGTGCACAGAAATAAACCAGTATTAAAATCGTAACATTGATATATTGCCAAAAGAACACGTTTGAAGCGAGAAATTGCTTCGAGTACAGACTGTCAATTTGGCCTGGAGATTTTAATTGAAAATATCCAATTACATAAGTTTACAAATACCAAATTACTGCAATATTAACACAATTAGATTACTGCAAAAAAAATGAATTGTCATTGTCAACCACATGATTTTTTTCCAGTATGACCATGGATTACACCAAAAAATTTTAGCTGCCTCATCCAGCTAGTGGAGCACGCCAGGCCTTAGTTTCAAGTTTTAAGTTTTGAAATTTTCAAAACAGTTTTCGTTTTTCGTCTTTTCCTTCGATCATTTTTTCTAAATGATAATTTTTTTCACCCAACTGCCTCGGTTTGATGTAGCCCTTTGTCCCAACTTAAATAGTTTGTTTCATTCTTATCCTTGTTTCCTGGGCCGTATTATAATTGGACGCTGATCATGACTCCACCATCTACTTTTTTGTTCTAGAATTTGCTAATCCTGGCCGTGACGTTTCTGTTCCTTTTAATATCTCTGGTCAGTTTCAGTTGTCGAAGCGGCCAGTGTCTCACCCTAAAAAAAGTTCCCTAGGTCAAAAAGAAACGAATATGTTATCCCTTCGATACTCGTTCTGGTCGCAACATTGTTTCCGCTGTTTCTGTTTCTCGTTTTTTAACCTCAATTTTCTGATTCTGTACCGTTATTGATCTGCTCCCCTGTTCACTCCCTCTTCTTGGCTGCCCGTATCAAATGAGTCATCAATCTTTATAGCGAAGCTAGAGTCTGTTGTAACGCTGGTGTTGAGGTGGTTTTGGTTGGTTGATCCATGGCCTTTGGTGGGCTCTTTGTTCGTGCAATCTTTTTAGACGGTTTTTTTTGATCGCTTGCCATTCGTTTGATACTTTGATGTTCGCCTGCGTGGACTTTCTTGTTACACCTTTTTTCGCCTTCTTCTTTGCAATATCTAAATACTGTCGACTATGTTATTTTCCACAGAATATGTTTTGATGGCTTCTAATAACTGTTCGGGCCTTTTAAGTCGTCACCGGATTATTTTTGTTAATCGTCGCCGCAAAAACATAACAGCAAGTTTCAAAAAATAACAATCATTAAAACTAAAACTCTCTATTTTTAAAATATCAAGGTTTATCCTTGCTTTCACTCAAACTAATTTCATTTAAAAAACAGATCATCAAGGCTTTCCTTGGATCTTTAAATTAATCTAAGTCTAAATTTTCATATTTTTAAATATTTAAATCTCTGATCATCAAACCCTATCCTTAGATCAAATAGAACAATTTTCTTCTCCCCCTCCCAATTTAATCAGTGTCTAACGACCTCAAACGTCGATTCACTACCCAACCCTTATCAAAGACCCAGAATTAACAAAAATTTTTCAACAAACTAACCATTCTAATTAAGATAAACAGTGAAGAACTTCGGTTACTCATCCTTCACTTGATCCCCCTTCTCTTAGATGACCCAGGCTAAAACAGTTAAACTTAGTAAGGCATAAAATAGTATCTAACGAACTACTCGCGTTCTAAATATACCTGGAACTTGTGGATCGATTTACTATTCTCCAACCTTTGATCACAAACTATAACCCCTAAGTAAGATTAGGTAGGTCAATCTTAGCTTAGAATTAGTCACGAGAAAGTACAAAGCATTCTTCGGAATCGATATACGCTTTTCTCTCCAAACCAAATATATGATCCAAGTTAAGCTAACCACAAAAAATTGTAAGAACTAACAGTTTAAGGCATAAAAATACTAATCCAGATTTTGCATCCATCATCCTAAACCTTATGTCAAGAGACAACTTAGGAAACAAACAAATAATCATAATACACAATTGTTAAATTAACGACGATAAATTCGAAGGAATTGGTTTAATTTTGCTATAATCTTATTTTGAAGTCTAGTTCTTTGCTTATTGGAGCAAATACGCCATTTTAATGAACAATGAAAATTACACAGTCAGTTTAAAAAGTTTCAAAAAAATTCTCTCTGTCTACGTTCCTCTTATCAGTAAGGTCGGATTGATTACAAAATTACCATGAGAATTGTTGGATCACTTCAAAAATCAATCAAACCGCTTCATCAATTCTTGGGGAGAAACTCTGGTGAAAAACAATGTTTCCTACAACATATTCAAAGCAAAGATTTAAGCTATGAAAATTTCATCTTCAAAAAAAGAAAGGTATTAAAAACTCAAGCTTTTTAAAATTATGCATGAATTACTATTTGGTAGGCAATACCATAGAAAAAGGGCAAGAACTTTTCTTACGAGTTTGCTTTAAATTTTCTTAATCTTTTCGCTTTTTCTTCTGTTTTTCAAGAAGAATCAGGTACCACAAGTAACCATCGGAATTAGCCGAGTGGTATCGTTTTAAAAACGTTTTACACGTGATTCGAAGAACTGAAAATTTTTTTTGAAAAAATGTTCCAATGTTGAGATCAACCGGTTCGAAGAACCGGTTTGACGTCAAGTCTAAGTCTAGTAATGTTAAAAAAATGAATTTTACGAACAAACTGGCGTTGGAAACTTTATTTAGCAACGTCATGGCAATACGAATTTTTTTAAAAAATTTTTCTATAATTATTTATAGACTTTTTGAAGGCAACTGTTGTCCATTATGCCTTATTTAAATATTTCTGGGCGTTTATATAGTTCTCTCACCACGTCACGCACAAGAAACAAAATTACTTCAAAAAACAACAGAAAAAATGTGAAACTTTATTAAACGATATTGGCTATTTGCACCGCAACCGGCAATGCTTCTTTTTC